TCCACCCCTTCCTTCTTTCTTCGGCCCCCATCCTGGTGCAGGCCTGCTTCCCTCAAGTCTCTCCCCACTCCAGCCCACTCTCCATTCAGCCATTAAAGTAACTTTCCTAAAGGGTAGGTCTTGACGTATGTAACCACCCTACTCAGTAGTCTCCAGTGGCACCCTATTGCCCCAGGATCAAGTACAAAATGTTCAGCGTTTGGCATTCAAGGCCTTTCATCACCTGCTCCTCTCAGGTACTCTGAGCCAGTGACACTTGGCTCCTGGCTGTTCCATGAACAAGACCCTCCATCTCTGGGCTTCTGGGCATTTTCTCTGGCTGTCTGGAATGCTCTCCCTCCTCTGCACTCACCACTCACCTCCCTGGATTCATTTCAGTCCTTATTAAAATCCCCCTTCTCCAGGAAGCCTTCCCCATCCCTTTCTAATTCCAGGGCCTTCCCTCTGTTAATTGGTTCCTTTTTATCCTGTCTAGAGCTTGCTTTGTAAATATATGCATGGATTAGATTGTAAGCCCTTAGAGGGCAGGGACTATCTTTTGCTACTTTATATTTCTGGCACTTAACAGTGCCTGGCACACAGTAGGTGTTTAATAAATGGTGACTGATTGATTCCCTTCTTTTCTAATCTCCCCCCACTTTGCCCTCTTAGCTCACTCTTCCTCCCCCTTTCCCTCCTCTCTCCCTCCTAGCTTGGCCCCCTCCCACCTTCCCTCTCCTGCCCCTTCCATCTCACATCTCCCCCAGCCTCAGTATCCTCACTCTCCAAGCCCTGTCTCTACCTCATTACACTCCACTTTTTCCTCTCTCTAGGTCACTGCCTTCTGCCTCTTCCCCTCTCAGTTCACTGCTTGCTCATTTGCCGCCCCACATTTCCCCCCAGCTCATTCATCTCCCCTTTCTAGCTCATAGAGCCCTTCCTTCCCCTCTTAATCTGATTGCCCTCCTCTGTCCACCTCACTGCTTCTCCTGTCTCCATTTTTAGCTCCACCCCTCTTCTCCTCTCTAGCTCTTGGCTTCTTAACCTGTTTCAAGTCCTGGAGCCTGTGGGCATTCTGGTGAAATTTGGGACCCCTACTCAGAAGGGGAAAATGTTAAATGCATTCCAGAAACTAGGGAGGGTTACTATGGAAACCTATTCTATTGAAATACACTTGTCAAAATAGACGTATATTTTAAAGTGCCAGGACCCCTACTCCAATGTCCCTCCCAGATCCCCTCTTGAGTTCACTCCCCACTTTTCCTCCCCCATCCCATTCTCACCTCCTCCCCTCCTCTGTCCCATTCTCACTTCCTCTCCCTCTCTATCCCATTCTTACCTCCTCCTCTCTCTCTATCCATTCTCACCTACTCCCCCTCTCTATCCCATTCTTACCTCCTCCCCTCTCTCTATCCCATTCTTACCTCCTCCCCCCTCAAGCTCACTCCCACCTCCTCCCTCATCTCTCACAGATCACTCTTCTATACTTTCTAGTTCACTCCCACTGTCTTCTACTTTTTTCCCTTCCTCCTCCTCCTGCTGTCAGCAAACTATGAGAACATCTCTTCTCCCGTCTCTAGCTTACTCCCTCTCCATGCTTTTGTTGCTCCCTGCTCCCTTCCTCCTTCCCCATCCAGCTGTCCTTTCTCTTTTCTAGCTCATTTACCTCCCCCCCCATACTGACTTCCTCTACCCCTCTTGATTTCATTACCTTAGCACTTCCCTCTCAGAAGGCTTAGACACCCCCCTGAGACCCATCCAGATCTCCTGCCCTTCTCTGCCGTGATATTCGTCTGTCCTGCTCCTTGGGGAACTTAGCCCCATACTTCTTTGCCCTCTGACTCCCCTGTTTCATGCAGGCCTGCAGTCGTGTACCCTCAGCTAGACTGTAAGCCCCAAGAAAGGAGGGACCATATCTAGTTTTCTGCCGAATCACCTGATGAGTACCTAGGGGCCACATAAGTAGCAATTGTTCAATGTCACCTTACCAAAGAAAGATCACTCTGGCCTGAACGACATGGCGGCAGTGACAACAACGATGACAACTAGGATGATGATGACGATGACCACAGACCCAAGTTGCCGCAGAAAGCACTTTCTGAGACCCATGTTCTCATGCTGGTGTCCGTTCCCCGGCTGCGGATCCTGGAACTCTGTGGTTGGACAAACATCGTCAAAGGCCTAGGCAAGACACAAATGTATAGCAGTCAGCATTATTGGGCATCTACCATGAGCTGGCCCAGGGCAGTGCTGTGGGACGGGCAGGGCAAAGGAATAGAGAGTCCCCCTGGCAGGAGCAGGGGGAAAGATGGAGGCAGGAGGCCAGATGGCTGGGGACCCCCAAGGGAGGAGCCAGCCGAGTTCTGGGGAAGAATGAGGCAGTAGGGGACAAGATCTTTCCTGGTATTAACGCCCCATCCTAGCCATAATCCAGTGTGCCTCAAATTGAATAATTATTAGCATTTGTACTATTAACAACAGTGGTGATGATGGTGATAACAATGCCTTGATATATATGTGTGTATATATATGTGTATATATATATATATGTGTATATATATGTATATATATGTGTGTATATATATATATATGTGTGTATATATGTGTGTATATATGTATATGTGTGTATATATGTGTGTATATGTATATATATGTGTATATATATGTATATATATGTGTGTATATATATGTGTATATATGTGTATATATATATATGTATATATATGTGTGTGTATATATATATGTATATAGTTGTTATATTTCAGTCATGTCCAACTCTTTCTGACCCCATTAGGGGTTTTCTTGGTAGAGATACTAGAGTGGTTTGCCATTTCTTTTTCCAGCTCAATTTCACTGATGCAGAAACTGAAGCAAACAAGGTAAAGTGACTTATGCAGGGTCACACAGCTGGTAAGTGTCTGAGGCTGGATTGGAACCCAGGAAGAGAAATCTTCCTGCTTCCAACCCAGTGCTCTATCCACTGCACCACTTAGCTGCTATGTATGTATGTATCTCTATATGTATATAGATATACAAATATGTATGCAGATATATGTATATATATGTATGTGTGAATATATATATATATACATACGTATATATATGTATATCCCTTTAAATGTTGCAAAGCACTTGAACTATGTCATTTCCTTTGACAGAGATATAGTGACTTGCTCAAGGTCACACAGACAGTTGGTGTCAGAGGCCAGATCCAAACTCCTTTTTTCCTGGCTCCAAGTGTAGTCCTTCGGCCACTGAGCCACCTTGCTGCCTCAGACACTTCTGATGAATCTTGATTATGTTTTAGTAATAAGTTCCCAAATTGGGTTAAGAATTTTACATATAAAATTGTATTGATAATTGTGAAGAAAGTAAAATTATTTTCCCATTTTAAAGTATCTGATAATTCTAAAAGACAGAAGAATTCATTTTACAAGTTAGACCCTTATGAATTTTTTAAACATTCTTATATCAGGTACAAAGTTTAGGTAAAGACAGAAACAGCGGTGGTATATAAAAACCTGAAATTCTCTGAAGTTTCAGGATGGGAGAACCAAAGTGAAGGGATCCTGCTAAATTTCATTGTCTTATTCCTTGCAGGTTAGGGTTAGGGTTAGGGTTAGAGATCATATTTGTACAAAGCACTTAGCACAGTGCCTGGCATACAGCAGGTGCTTAATAAATGCTTATTCCCTTCTCCCTCCCTCTTAGTCTGAGCCCAAATGCCCTCAAGTCTATATATTGCAACCCCTTCCTAAGGGACTGCTCTGGGCTCCTCTACACAGATGAGGTTTCCTCCAACTTCACTTCAGTCCATCCCATCATTCCCCTGCTCACAGACCTCCCTGCCCACCCCTCACTGTCAGAAGGTGCCACTGCAGCTTGGCCCCATTGTACCCAATCCCCCTTTCTCTCACTGTCTCCCAATATAACTCCCCACTGCAGCCAGACTCTTCCCCCATAGCCTGCTGAGCTCCTAGAAGCCTCGCCCAGGGCCCTGCAAGCATTCATGGGTTCCCATGCAGGTCTGTTAGTATGGCCTAGGCAGGGTGTAGAATGGCTGGGCCCAGGATAAAAAGGAGAAGCACAGCCTGGGGGAGGAGCTGCGTGTCAATCAGTCAGGGCCAGCAGTGGAGAGAGAAGCTGGACAGCAGACACCATAAAATGGAGGGTCTGACCCAGGCAGCCATGCTACCAGCCCCAAAAAGCCCACCAAAGGAAGCGCAGGCCAGGTAGCTGGGTTAAGTTGGCCAAGGTATGGGAAATGGATCCAGGGAGAAGCCAAGGCCAAGTATGAGCCCAAGTGAAGAAGATGAGAGCAAGTCAAGAGAAGAATGTGGGGTGTGTGTAGGGGAGGCCTATTGGTGAAATAAAAACACATCGATGCTCTAAGGACGATGGGAACTATTTCGGAAGAGTCCTGAGAAAAGTAAGCATTCGGTTTTGTGTAAGTATCATTTAGTAAGCTTCTCCTAAGTGTAAGGCACTTTCCAGGCACTGGAAGGCTTTCTTTTCTGCCAGGGGCTACAGAACCTCCAAGGGGAAGCAAATTTGCTGTCATTTGCCACCATAGCCGCTATTATTGACAAGGGCCATCTGGAAAGGCTTCCAGAGCTGTAAAGCCTCCTTATCTAAGCCTTAAAGGTGACCAGGGATGGGTAGGGTCAGTAGAATGAAGCTCAATAGGCACCTCATTTACCTTGAATTCAGCTGCTCTTAAGAGCCTCCCAGAGGCAGAAAAAGCAGGGAACTGGCCACTGCCGGGTTGCGTAGTAGTGCATAGAGCTTGGGAAACAAAGGCAGGATAGGGCGTGGCAAGGGCGTGGCAGCTGCCTGGGAGCCAGACAAACGCACAAGGCCTCGCCCTCGCTAGACAGATGGGTCCTGTAGGTCTAGCCAGGCCCAACAGAAGCCCGTGGCTCCCTATTTCGGCCCACTAGGGGACGGTGGAGAGGCTCCGAAGGGACCGAGGGCAGAGGGCAGAGGGACTGCGGGCAGTTCTTTCCCACAGCCCACCTCAGGGGTTGCCCAATTGAAGGAAACTCAGCATTAGATTGTTCCCAGACTGCCTCTACTCTCTCCCTTCAGCCCTCCTCGGGAGAGCATTCGAAACTTCTTCGCTGAGCAGCGGTCATCTGGGCGAAAACAAAAGGTGTGAAGCATGTCGTCAGAGTTTTGGTTAATTTCTGTCCCTGGAGACAGGGAAAACTTGCAGATTTTAGAGCGGATGAACAATTTCACCTCCAAGTCCAACCTGTCCCGAAACACGGACTTCCTTATTCCCGATTTCAAGATGGGGACCTTAGATTCTCTGCTTAGCCTCTCAGACGAGTTGGGGGAACTTGGCCGCTTGGCCGAAAGCCTCATGAAGAGAATGACGAGAATGACTCGGTATGTTCTAGAACTGAAGGCAGCCAAGAAAGGTGAAGTTCAGGAGTACCTCTTTGCCGATGGAGTCACCTTGGCTTCTTTTGTGACCCACTTTGAATGGGACTTGACCAAATATCCAGTGAAACAGCCCTTGGGGGCTATAGCAGATACATTAGGGAAGGAGTTGGCTCAAGTGGAGACTGATCTGAAAAGCAGCATCACTGCCTACAGCCAACTGAAAAGAGAGCTGGAGAACATGGAAAAGAAATTGCTGGGGAGTCTCTTCACTCGGACAGTGTCCGATATCGTGAGAAAAGAGGATTTTGTATTGGATTCGAAATATCTCATCACCCTTCTGGTCGTTGTTCCAAAGGCAAGTTATTCTCTGTGGCAGAAAACTTACGAATCCCTCTCAGATATGGTGGTCCCTCGATCCACCAAGTTGATTGCTGAAGACCAGGAGAACGGCCTCTTTACTGTCACGATTTTCCAGAAAGCGATTGATGATTTCAAAGCCAAAGCCACAGCCAACAAGTTCACAGTTCGAGACTTTTTTTATGATGAAAAACAAATTCAAAGTGAAAGGGAAGAGCTGACCAAATTGCTTTCAGCAAAGAAGCAACGTGATCATTCCCGAAGAGCTAAGAATAGCCGCCCCTCTTCCTTCCTGGATCGCATTGCGAAAGCCATCAGGTTGAGGAAGTGCTGGAAGCGTGGAACGAAAAAACAGACAGAGAAAGTGGAAGAGCTGGAGAGTGAGGGCAGCTGGAAGAGTCCATTTCTGCACTGGCTCAAGGTGAACTTTGGTAAAACACTTCTTGTCTGGATTCATATAGCGGCCTTGAGCATATTTGCGGAATCCTCATTAAGGTACGGCCTACCTGTGAATTTTAAGGCAGTATTGTTACATCCCCAGAAGAAGTCCCGCAAACGTCTGAGGAAGATTCTCAACTCAACTTTCAAACACCTGGATGCAGTGGCAGCCAGTATGGTGGATACACCTGTGAATATCCCCGGATTACAACTAAGTAACGAAGAGTACTTTCCTTATGTCTGCTTCAACATTAGGCTTAAATTTCTCGACTAACTTTTTACAAGTCAGGCAATTCTTAATCATCTCTGAACTGGCCCCATTTCCTCTCTTGGTGGAATCAAATTAAATCGTAAATGTTGGCTACCATTAGCCAGAGCATTTTTAAGTAAAGAATTTCCCCAGCATAGAAATGAGTTTTTAAATTAATTAATTAATTTTTAGTTTTCGACATTCACTTCCACAAGATTTTGAGTTCCAATTTTTTCTTTCCATCTCTCCCCTTCCCCCACCCCCAGATGGCCTGCATTCTGAATACCCCTTCCCCTAATCTGCCCTCCCTTCTATCACCCCTTCCCCTTCTCTTATTCCCTTCCCCTTCTATTTTCCTGTAGGGCAAGATAGATTTCTATATCTAGTTGCCTGTACATCTTATATTCCAGTTGCATGTAAAAACAATTAACATTCATTTTTAAAACTTTGAGTTCCAAATTCTCTCCCTTCTTTCCCACCCACCCTCATTGAGAAGGCAAGTGGAAATGATTTTCTTTTTTTTTGTTTGTTTCTTTTTAGGCAATTGGGGTTAAGTGACTTGCCCCAGGTCACACACACACACAGATAGTAAATGTCAAGTGTTTGGTCTGAGGTCGGATTTGAACCCAGGTTCTCCTGACTTCAGGGCGGGTGCTCTATCCACGGGGCCACCTAGCTGCCCCTGGAAACGATTTTCTAAAAGATGTCTTAGACTTTAGAATGTTACTACAAAACAAATGCATTGTGGTTGCCTATATTTTTGTCAATAATAATTTTTTTTAAAAAAGCTCTCGTAGTTTTTGAAAAAAATTCCGTAAGGAGGAGTTAGTAAACCTTTCCCTAAGTAGAAACCCAATGTTAGGAACATTCTACCTCTAGAGGCTTAGGATTTGGGAAGCTGTTAGAGGGTCCTTGAGGGAAATAAGGGGAGTAAGTGAGAAGCAGGAAGAAAGAGAATTGGTTATTCTGTGGGGCTTTGTGGGGGGGGTGCATTGGGGGACAGGGGAGCTTTGCTAACATTAGACAGGAGAGATGAAGAAGCTCAATGAGACAGAAGAGGAAGAAAGGCCAAGAGATATTTGTGGAAAGGAAGTCCCTGACACAAAACCAGTAGAGGAAGGTGAACATGGCAGAAGTTAAATTGTGGAACGTAGCATCTCCACATACTTCTCTGCTCTAGAATGAAGGTGAAGCCGTTGGCCCAAAGTCTGTAAGCAGTCATAAGGCAGCAGAATCTGAGCCCCTAGGCCCCAGCCTGTGCACTCTAGGGACATGATTAATGACTGCGCTGCTTTCAGGCTTTCTGGTTCCTGTGCAGCACGGGCCAGGGCCATCTGAGGCTGGAGGAATAGTCCCATCTTCCGCGGTGCTGGGCTTCCCTTAACATCGATGAGCCTGTTCCTTTCCCCTAGACCCCGGTGGTGATCTATGGATGGGAAAAAAGGCTCCATAACCAGGGTGACATCGTTATTGTATTTCTAATTAGGTGTATTTCAGAGAGGCTGTATGGCCTAGTGTTGGCCTTGCGGAGTCTGGCTGGTCTGAGTTCAAAACCCACCTCTGACATTTAGTAGCTGGGTGATCTTGGGCAAATCCCTTAACCCCTCTGAGTCTCAGGCCAACCATCTCAGAAAGTGAGTGCACCTGGTGGGCAGAGTTCCTATACTGAGGAAATTTGCCGGCCTTGATGTTGATAAGACCACTTGCAAGGCACGGGTTCAAGGTTCTCCAAATGTCCAATGAGTGAAGAGGTACCTCAGCCCATCACTGAGGAGAGAGAGGGGGCGAAGAAAAGAGGGCCCTCTCTGCATATTCAGAGAGTGGGAGGACAGGTTCCTTATTTTACAAGGTTGGGGGGAGAGGCACCCTAGTGTACACGCGTGGTGGGGCGGGGGAGGAAGAGGAGGAAGAGCAGCTCTTAATTCCACCCGTGAGGAGGAGCGAAAGAAGACCTTTTAGTCCACAAGTCAGGAGAGGAAAGAGACCCTTCAGTGCACAAATGGGTGTGTGGGTGGAAGAGCAGCAGTCCCACTGTGCACATGCGCGGGGAAGGGGGTGGGGAGAAGAGAAGAGGCCCCTTAAGGTACAAGTGAGGAGGGGGTGGAAAGGAGGTGCCCCCCACCCCCACCCCCGTGCGCATGCGCGGTATGAAGCTGGAAAAAGCGCAGCCTGAGCATGTGCAGTTCAGCGACCACTGCGGCAGCCCTGGGCGTTCCCTCTGCAGTCTGGAGGTGGCTTGTCTTGCAGCAGCAGCCTCAGTCGCAGCTCCAGCTCTATCCCCGCCGGCCGCCGCTGCGCCCGCTGCCCGAAGCCCCCGGGGTCACACCAGCACCCCGGACAGCGGCACCTCCTGCTGTGACTCCAGCTGCCCTCAGGGCCTCAGGTATTGAAGAGGGAGAAGGGTCATCCTGGCGAGGCTTAGTCTGGCCACTGAGAGCCTCCCCGACCCAATGCACTCATGCTCTTTTCTCACTCCTCCTGTCCAATACAACCCAATGAGCATTTATTAACCACCTACTATGTGCAAGGTGTCGGGGTTACTTACCCCGCCCTCCTTCGAAGGCGGACATAGAGCAGTCCACAGATGGAGACGCTGACCATAGCAGATGCTTAATAGATGCTTATCGAATGAGTGGGCGAATGAATGAATGAATGAATGAATGAAAAGGTACGATGGAGCTCGACTTTGAACGGCTTTAAATGTCATTAATCTAGTCTGGGCAGAGGTAATGAAGGCCTGAGCTGGTGTGGAGGGGGGGGGGTGGAAGGAGGACCTGTATGAGAGATATGGGGGAAGTAGAATCGATAAGGTTTGACGATTGCTTAGGTATGTGGGGTAAGGGAGAGGAAAGGTCAGAGTCTAGGGTGGCCCGGGCTCCTGGAAAGATTGTGGGGGGGCCTCAAATCCGTTGGGGAGGTTGAAGGAGTGATTGGTTTGTGGGGAAGGGGTCGGGAAACGAAATTCCTTTTTGGATGTGTCAAGTTTGAGATATCTCTGGGTCATCTAGGTGAAAAGGGTCAACAGAGAGTTGGTGATAAAGCCTAGCTATCTAGACTTGGCAATCACTGCATTGAGTCACTGCATAGACATGGACTCGTGGGAGGTGCTGAGATCTGGAAGAGCACGAGATCTCAACAGAGCTTTGGGGGGACACCCATGGTTAGGGGGCATGACCTGGCAGTTTTCATGTCTGAATAGGTGCTTAGGGGTGCTTGCGAGGCTTTTCTCAGTCCTATGGGACAGTCTTCAAGGGTTGAGGTCTCTCTGTTTTTCTAAAATCTTTTCTAAAATCTTTTGTTGGGGGCCAGAAGAGAGGGCCAATGAGTACCTAGGGTGGAGGGGATAATGATGACAAATGACAGAGACAAGGCCAAAGTCCTCAAATATTTTGTTTCTCTTTTCTTTGCTACAGAAATTTACCTGGTTGGATGGCCAGACTTGTAGAATAATCATTAATGGCTTGGTGTCAACTTGGCAGGAGGTCTCCAGTGGAGTGCCCTAGGGATCTGTGCTTAGTCTGGTACTGGTTAACATTTTTGTTAGTGACTTGGATAAAGGCCAAGCTGGGAGGGAGAGCTAACACTCTGGATGACAAGATCCAAAAGGGCCCGGGCTCTAGACATCACCTTCACCAGCACAAGGTGGGAAAAGCCTGGTTAGACAGCAGTTTGTCTGAAAAAAGATGGACAGATTTCGTGGCTTGCCAGCTCACTATGAGTCAGCAATGGTGGGGCCTTGGGTCACCTTAAGAGAAGCCCAGCTTCTGGCACACAAGGGAGTATTGGGACATGAATAAGATGGAGAATGTCCAGAGGAGGGCGACCTGCCTAGAAAAAAAGGGCCTTCCCATGAGACTCACTTGAAGTAAATGGGTGAGATGGGACTAAAGGAGACAATACTGCGGGGAGGAGATGATGATGATGATGATTCTCTCCAGCTGTTTGAAGGTCTCATTGGGGGAGGGATTGAACTTGCTGTGAACCTGAACGATGTGGGGAAGTTACAGAGAAGCCAATTTAGGCCTGACGTTCAGGAAAAAATTTCCTGACAGAGCTATTGATAAGTAGATGTGTAGACGTGGCTGCCTCGGGAAGTGTTCTGTTGAGCCGTTTTTAGTCGGACTCTTCATGACCCCATTAGGGGTTTTTGTGGCAGAGATACTGGAGTGGTTTCACACTTCCTTCTCTAGCTCATTTTACAGATGGGGAAACTGAGGCAAACAGGGTTCAGTGACTTGCCCAAGGTCACACAGCTAGGAAGTGTCTGAGGCCAGATTTGAACTCAGAGAGATGAATTTTTCTGACTCCAGGTCTGCTGCACTGCAGTGCTTCCTGGCTGCCCTGGAAAGTCTCCTAGTAACCCTCTTTTTCTCTTTCTCTCTCCCCACCCCCAACCATCTGAGATCTTCAAACAGGCTGGATGACCCCATGTGCAGTATGTTATAGTCATAGAAGAGCAATTTCTTTTTTGGGTAAAGGTTAGACTAGGATCAGAGAATCATCCATGTAGAGTTCGAAGGCACCTTTGAGGCCATTGGGATAACCGCTTTCATTTTATAGGCAGAAAGGAAAGCAGGAAAGAAGCATTTATTAGGCCCCATCTATGTGCCAGGCATTGTGCTAAGCCCCCTACAAATACTGTCTCACTTGATTCTTACAAGAACCCTGGGAGGTCAGGGCTATTTTCATCCCCATTTTACAGTTGAGGAAATTGGAGCAGACAGAAGGGAACTGACTTGTCTATAGTGCCACAGCTAGGAAGTGTCTGCAGCTGAATTTGAACCGAAGTCCTCCTGCCTCCAAATCCAGCACTTTCTCTACGATGCCTTCTAGACCAGGGGGATACTGACACCCCTTCCAGCTCTGGAATTCGGCAATGCTGTGGCCTGGTGACGATCTAGCAAAGAAGCCTGTGAGGGAATAGCCAGATGCTTGGGGAAGAGGCAGGAGAGGACAGTGGCACAGAAATGCACGAGGGAAGGGACAGCAACAACAGACTGCGGAGAGCTCTGGGGGAAAGACCGAGGCCAG